AAAAAAAAAACTTACTGCTGTCGAGTTGCATCCAACTCACAGTGACCCCTCCTTCGGTTTCTGAGGTGGTATCACTATGGAAGTAGATTGCCTAATCTTCCTTTCGAGGAGAAACTGGTGGGTTTGAACCGCCAGCCTTCTGGTTAGCAGTCAAATGCCTTAGACACTACATCACCTCCTAAGCTACAGAAAAAAAAAAAAAAAAAAACCTAGAGGACAAAGACAGTAAGGTCATGTTCTAATATCTTAAAATGACACAACTGAGATCTGAACTTCAAATTCTGCCTAGCTTTCCCTAGGGGAAAAAAAAGCAACAAAAATAAAAATGCTTTGCAGTTGAACATAGAAGTACATTTTAAAAAATGCATTTATAACATATGCATCTTCTCTTCATGGAATTAAAACCTTCTTACTTTGTTTCATGTAATGTTCTTTTCCTAAACCGAAGAGGTGCCATCTTTGGATGTGGAAGGATAGAAGCACTTTGTTTCTCACTGGTTAAATTTTGTTCTGGATCACTGATTACGGCCCTAGACAGGAAAATACAAAGTATGAGCAATAAATGTGATAATGTGTTGCTCCAGGATTCACATATTTATAAGCACGTGGAAAGCATATATACCAAACACAAATTTACATTACTGTCAAAATTATAATTCTGTCAGATATGAATAAATTAAATTACTGAAAATACTGACCATAAAAAAATGAATATCTCTGACTGTTTTTCCTTAAGTATTACCTAAAATACAATGAAATGTTGGTGGGAAGAGCTAAGAGCTTGGTGTCTTTATTTTACCATTCTTGAAATAGAAAGATGTTTTGCTAGTTTCTGGTGCTATATGGGGGGTAAAAAAAGCACATATCAAGTAAACTAAGGATATAAAGTAATAAATATCTCAATAGAAATGTAATAAGATAAAGTAAAAGAAGATGCACTTAAGCCCTGGTAAAGAAGAAATAGAGAAGAAGAATTCATGAAAGGCATCCTAGAAGTGATAATGTACTAACTCTTGAAAGGTGAGAAAAAGATAGCACTCGGGGCATGAATAAGAATATCCCAGGCAAAGAAACAGTAAGTTCAGGGCACAGATGTTGAACATAAAAGTACACTCGAGGATTAGAGTGCATACTCTGGAACAGACAGCCTGGGTGCCAACCTTGCCTCTGCCAATTAGCTCTGTGGCATTACACAAGCTGTTTAACTACTAGGCCTCAATGTCTTAATTTATAAAAGAGAGGTAATAATGGTAGCTCTGGCGGTATAGTGAGTAGGGCATTTGGCTGCTAAGCAAAACATCACCAACTGTTCAAACTCACCAACTGTTCCACAGGAGGAAGATGAGGCAATCTACTTCCATTACGATTTACAGCCTTGGAAACCCAATTGAGATCTCTATGAGTCAGAATCCACTCAATGGCTCTGGGTTTTTTTTTTTTTTTTTAATCCGAGAGAATTCTTTCACTATAGTTATTCAATCTGTGTGCTGAACATACAATCTGAGAAGCTGGACTAGAAGAAGAACAGCATCAGGATTGGAGGAAAGCTCATTAATAACCGGAAATGTGCAGATGAAACAACCTTGCTTGCTGAAAAGGAGGATTAAAGCACTTACTTATGAAGATCAAAGAGTACAGCCTTCAGTATGGATTATACCTCAACATAAAGAAAACAAAAATCCTCACAGATGGACTGATAAGCAGCATCACAATAAACACAGAAGAGATTGAAATTGTCAAGGATTTCATTTTACGTGGATCCATGATCAACACCCAAGGGAGCAGCAATCAAGAAATCAAACAAGATACTGCATTGAGAAAATCTCCAGCAAAAGAGCTCTTCAAAGCATTCAAAAGTAAATATGTCACTTTGAGAACTAAGGTACATTTGACCCAAGCCATGGTATTTTTAATCAACTCATATGCATGCCCACCACATGTCTGCCAGTTAGTTGGTCATACTGTGGTGGCTATGTGTTGCTGTGGTGCTGGAAGCTATGCCACTGGTCTTTCAAATACCAGCAGGGTCATCCATGGAGGACAGCATTCAGCAGAGCTTCTAGTCTAAGATAGACTAGGAAGAAGGATGTAGTAAGGTCTACATCTAAAAACACTGGCCACTGAAAACTTTATGAACATCAGGGAAACTTTGATATAGTTGTGGAGAATGAGGCCCTCAGATTGGAAGGCACTTAAAATACAATTGGGTAAGAGCTGCTCCTCGAAGTAAAGCTGACCTTAGTGATATAGATGGAATAAAGATTTTGAGACTTACATTGGCTGATGGGGCATGATTCAAAATAGGAAAAACCAACTGCAAATGCCAATTAATAACAAAGACATGGAACGTATGAAGTATGAGTCTAGGAAAATTGGAAGTTGTCAAAAATGAAATAGAAAGAATAAAGTTTGATACCCTAGGCATCAGTGAGCTGAAACAGACTGGTATTGGCCATTTTTAATCAGACAATCATATGGACTACTATGCCAGGAATAACAAATTGAAGAGGAATGGCATCACATTCATCATCAAAAAGAAAATTTCAAGATCTATCCTGAAGTACAGTGCTGTAATAGGATAATATCTATATGCCTATAAGGAATCCCAATTAATATAACTATTATTTGAATTTATTCACCAACCACCAAAGCCAAAGATGAAGAAATTAAAAGTGTTTACCAACTTTTGCAATCTGAAATTAACCAAACATGCAACCAAGATGTATTGATAATTACTGATGTCTGGAATGTGAAAGGTGGAAACAAAGAAGAAGCATCCATAGTTGGAAAATATGGCCATAATGATAGAAATGATGCCAAGATTGCATGATAGAATTTTGCAGGATCAACAGCTTATTCACTGCAAATACATTGTTTAAACATAAACATAAATAGTGACTGTACACTTGGATCTTGCTAGATGGAATACACAGGAATCAAATCGACTATATCTGTGGAAAGAGAATATGGAGAATATCATTAATCAGAACACTGCCATGGACTGACTGTGGATTAAATCATCAATTGTTCATATGCAAGTTTAAGTTGAAGCTGAAGAAAATTGAAACAAGTTCACGAGAGCCAAAATATGACCTTGAGTATATCCCTCCTGAATTTAGAGACCATCTGAAGGACAGAGTTGATTCATTGAACATCAGTGACCAAAGATGAGATGAGTTGTAGAAAGATTTTATACATGAAGAAAGCAAAAAGTCCATTAAAAAGAGAAGAAAGGATGAAAAGATCAAAATGGATGCCATAAGAGACTCTGAAACTTGCAATTGAAGGGAGAGTAGCTAAAGCAAATGGAATAAGTGCGAAGTTAAACAGTTAAACATAAGATTTCAAAGGGCTCAAGAAGACAAAATATTATACTGAAATGTGCAAAGATCTAGAATTAGCAAATCAAAAGGGAAGAATATGTTTGGCATTTCTCAAGCTGGAAGAACCAAAGAAAAAAATTTAAGCCTTGTCTTGCAAAACTACAGGATTCTATGGGCAAAATATTGAATGAAAGCATTAAGAAAACATCAAAAGAAAATGAGCCACTATAACAAAAATAACAGGTCAATGTTCAACCATTTCAGGAGGTAGCATATGATCAAGGACTTATGGTTTTGAAGCAAAATGTCCATGCTGCACTGGAGGAATTTGGGAAAAACAAGAATCTAAGAATTAACAGAATACCCAATGAGATGTTTCAACAAATTTTTGCAGCACTGGAGATACTCACTCACTTATGCAAACAAATTTGGAAGACAGCTACCTGGCAAACTGACTGGAAGATTTCCATATTTATACCCATTCCAAAAGAAAATGAACCCAAAAAAGTTGGAAATTATTGAACAATATCTTTAATATCACATAGAAGTAAAATTTTGCTAAAAATAATTCAAAAATTGTTGCAGCAGTACATCAACAGGGAAATTCCAGAAAGTCAAGCTGGATATAGAAGAGGACGTGGAATGAGAGATATCATTGCTGATGTCAGATGGATATCAACTGAAAGCAAAGAATAGCAGAAAGATGTTTACTTGTGTTCTATTGACTATGCAAAGGAATTTGACTGTGTGAATCATAACAAATTATGAGTAACATTGCAAAGAATGGGAATTCCAGAACACTTAATTGTGCTCATGAGGAACCTGTACATTGATCAAGAGGCAGTCGGTCATTCAAACAGAACAAGGGAATACTGCATAGTTTAAAATCAGAAAAGATGTACATCATGGTTGTATCTTTTCATCATACTTATTCAATCTATATGCTGAGCAAATAATCAAAGAAGCTGGACTATATGAAGAAGAATAGAGCATCAGGGTTGCAGGAAGACTCATTAACAACCTATAGATAAGAAGATGACACAACATTGCTTGTTGAAAGTGAAGAAGACTTGAAGCACTTATCAATGATTGATTGTACCTTCAGTATGGATGATACCTCAAAACAAAATCCCCATACTGGACCAATAAGCACCATCATGATAAACACAGAAAAGACTGAAGTTGTCAAGAAGTTATGATAACTTCTTGGCCCCAGCCAACTGCCCTGAGGGAGCGAGTAGTTGGACCTGTGGGCTCAGGTCTATGGTCACAGGAGACATCAAGCTCAATTGGCATAACATACCACACAAAAACATTGTTCTAGATCCTACTTTGGTAAGTAGTGACTAGGGTCTTCAAAACTTGCAAGTAGCCATCTAGATGCAATAATGGGTCTCTCCTCATCCACAGCAAAGAAGAAGGAAAGAAACCAAAGACTCACAGAAACAATTAGTCCAAGGAACTAGTAGATCATGTGATCTCTAGCCTATATGACCATGAGACCAGAAGAACTAGATGGTGCCCAGCTACCACTGTCAAGCTTTCAGAAATGGATCAGTGCAGGAGATCCTGGATAGAGTGGGAGAAAAACATAGAACGAAACGCAAAAGCACAAAAAAGACCAGGTTTATTGGTCTGATAGAGCCCAGTGAGACTGATTAGACTATGCCCTCCAGTTTTCCTTCAGGTCTGGAACTGAACTCACTCCTGTTGCTTCCAGCCAAACAACAGACAGGCA